ATATTATTAAAACTATTCATTCTCATTGAAAATATAGCAAACCTTATTAGAAAGTCTTATATGCATTTGTTTCTCTTCTTTACAAACAAACAGCGGAAAAGACTTCTGGAGAACATGGTTTGGGATGGGGTGACGGGAGAATGAGAATGACTTTGGGAGGCATGGGAAGAGCCTTAGGCTGGACAACCCTAATCTAAAAGATAACTTAGTCCCCACAAGGAGATTGTGAGGGGAATGGGGCATTGGAAGAATTGTAGAAGAAACTCCCTAATTTTTCAAAGTAAAAGGAGAGAAGGAAAAATATTTGCAGAGTTCCAGGATTTTGTATTGTGCCCTCACGGTAGAGATGGCGTGAGTATTCATTCTAGTGCTTCTGGTCTGGATTTAGCTCAAAATTCATCCTTCAGTGCTGACAAATTCATCCTCCAGTCAGGATTCCCAGACCAGGAATGCAGATCCCAAACCTTTATCCAAGACAATTTCAGTACCCAACAATTGCCTTTCCTAAAGATGCACATGCAGAAAAACACAGACAGACACATGCATTTATAATCTCAAATGGAGCATCTGGCTTCTGTGATCATTCTCGAAATTTGGTAGCATCAACTTTGTATCTAATAACCAGAATGGACTTAACACTTGGGGATTGGCCAGTCTGAACCGTCCGGATGAACTGTAGGGTGGGGTTTGCTTAGGGACACTTTAATGTATCAATCTGTAAAGAATCCCACAGATCCTGAATATTATGCCTGCTATCAACTACTCTTAATAAAAGTTCCTGTTGGAAGAAATTGTTTCCAAGAGTTCTGCTTTCTTAAGATGTGGAATTGAAGTGGGTCCTTACAGTACCTAATAACCAGAAATGAATGTTCTTTTTCATGAACAGAACTTGTTAACCGAACGGTTTCAGAAAGTTATTTTTCTTCTGGACAAATATTTTTGGCAACAAGGAAGCAAGGATATTTAGAGTGTAAATCCGTGCAAACAAGGACAAAAGCTTACAAAAGAAATTATTAAATATGTATATGTTTAGGAGAACCAAACAGCTTAGCTTATTTGAAAATGTGTTTAATGTTAGAAACTAAAGAGACGGAAAATCCTTTTTTCCCTTCCTCAAAAGTTTTGGATGTACTGAGAACATTTACCATAAAATACATTATCAAACCACAGTTTGAATATACTTAATTTTTCCACTTGTTGCCAAATGCCTTACAATCCTCTGATCAATATTTACAATTTCTCTGCAGGCTTCCCTGGAAGTCAATGAGGAAGACTGCAAGGAAGGACTCAGACCACTGTTTCCTGGGGACAGGCTGGAAAAGGTCCACCCCAAAATCCAAACTGACTTTTTTCAGCCAAATCCTGGACAGTAAAAGTGCTGCTTGGCAACGGGGGTGGAGGCTATTTATGGTATGGGAAAGTGAAATTTAATTCACACTTGAAAAATCATTATCTTAGACCAGTGGTTCTCAACCTTTTTAATGCCGCGACCCCCCAACCGGTCGTAACTCGAGGACTACTCAACCGGTCGTAAGTTGAGGACTACTCAACTGGTGCAGCACCGTTTGCAGAATGGGACTTTTGGCGGGCTCAGCAGGGCAGAGACAGCCTGGACAATTCCTATTGGCTTTCAAAAGCCAATAGAATAAAAGGGAGTAGCACAGCTAAGGAAAAGGGGAAAAAAATGGCAGACTGTGTTGTTTGGCGACCCCCATGAAATGGTCCTTCGATCCCAAATGGGGTCCCGACCCACAGGTTGAGAACCACTGTCTTAGACTTAGATTTCCATTTTGAGGGCATGGAACAGATATAAATCAAGGCTTTGTTTAAAAATACCTTGTGGATTTTGACACAATAAGTATGATATGGAACAAAAATGTTCACTAAATAGAGTTAATTTATGATGACATACTCATTCCCCAAAAGTTTTCTTATACACAATGATTAGAAGGATTTCAAATAGAGAAAGGAATGTTTAGAATATTGTAAGTATGATCTACAATACATAAGGAATCCTCACACGGCACTCTCCAATAAGATGATTAAAACCATTATTACTTCTTTATGAATTAAATTTGTTTAGCAGGTGGCTTCCCTCTTCATAGCAATTTTTCACCCAAAGCCCATTGGAACAGCCAGAGTTGAGGTGGGATTGGAAGTAAATGGCTCTTGTGTCCTATTTACAAACTACATGTAATACTTCACCAGAAAGAGAAAAGCCTCCAGCAACAAACATTTAGATTTGGGGGTGGGTTAAGAACCAACTTTGCTACCTTTTATTCTGAGTTTACTTCTTTTCTTTTTAAGAAACATATTCTAACATTTATTTATATAACTCATTTCTTACATGTTTACAGCATCCAGCTTCTAATGCTAGCTGGTTTTTCTTTTTTTCTTTTTTCTTTATAAATATTTTTATTGAGTTTTATAAAAGTAATAAGGGATAGGGTCAAGAAGGGTAAGACAACAGGAAATATATAAAAAGGTTAGACCAGGGAAAAGGAGGAAAGTGAAAACAATGGTCTGATTTTCAAAGAGCTTTGGATGGTAAATAATAAATGGTAGATATTTTTATGTTATAAACTCAACACCTAAAGGAGAAAAGTATAATTCCTGTGTAAAACATATGCAAATTGCTACTCTGAAAAGTCTATTTAGTTGTTATATGGAATTAAGAATTTTTTTTAGTTTGTTCCTGATTTTTAGTCACACAAATTCTTGATAAATTGGTTATGGGCCGTCAAATGAGTATTGATTAATCACATAGGTAAGGTTTTCTCCAAGATAATCTGTTCTTTCACAATTTCCAGAGGAAGAGTATTTAAACAGAGACATAATAAAACGAAAGGATCGGTACCAGCTCCGTTAAACCGAAACGCTACCTAGCAACCAACCTGGCAAAGGAACCACGGGAGAAAGGCTTTACGCCTAAAGAGCAAGTTGTGCGTGCGTGTGTGCGTGCGCGCGCGCGCGCGCGTGTGTGTAAAATTACGTTAAAAATTTGAATCCTGGGTAAAGCCATGCAATCAAAATAAAGCAAATACGAGCACCAGGATAATATCAAACTAGAATTTGTTTAATAAAAATGCTGATCTTTCCTCGGCCAGCACCGGCTTTGCGCAGGGCTCCTAGATGTCCTCACGGGTCCATCCAACATCCCTAATTGTTTTACTCTTAAAAGGTGTGCATTTGCTGTTCCCTTGGTGGTTTCTAAGGTTGCTGCTCCTCCATCTACCCTCCTTCCTCCAATCACTTCCCTCGTGCCTGTGTCTGCTAACCCACTACTAATTTCTGAGGCTGCTGTTTTCCCTCCCCCCCCCCTCTCTCTGCCGATCGCTTTCTTCGTGTATATCCAGCCCGACTGCTTCTACACCAATGACCTCCGGGCTTGCTGTTTCCTCCTCCCCCCTTTTCTCTCCGATCATTTTGCTCATATACATACGGCCATCCGCTACAACCCCACCGATCTTCAAAGTTATTGCTCTCTCCTCCTCTCTTCCAACAGCTGCTCTATTCGTGTGTCTCCAACTACCACATTGTGCTAAATGTCTCCGCTCACTCTCTCTCCTCGTCTGTATCCCAGGGCATATTTGTTCTTTCTCTATAGGGCTGTTAGCAAGCTGTGTATCCAACCCAGTCTTCTTACTCTTTCCCCCTGTTGTTCCTACGCGTGTGTGGGCGTTTCCAACGTGGTGTCTATATGATGTTTGCTGTACTTGTATGAAGATAAATAAAAGTACCCATTAAATTAGGGTAACATAATCCCTTGCATCCTTTCTTGATTCCCTTAAAATATTTATCTTCCTGCAACTTTTGTGGTTCTTGGCCGCAAAACCCTTTTTTGCTTGAATTTTACTTGATGTTTTATATATATATATAATTTGATATTATATTTTGCAGCTTGTGGTTTAGTTTGGATGAAATATTGGGTGAAATTAAGCACATAGGAGGTCACTGGAGCAGAAACACGAACACAGATTTAGGTGGCAAGGATATTAATGTATACTCTGTTTAAGCCATTCTCCAATGAGATGATTAAATTATTATTACTAACTATTGTTTATTTGCCACCTGTCTCACCAAAGTAACTCTGGGTGACTTACAAAGTTAAAATCTATCTGTCTGTCTGTCTGTCATCTATCTATCTATCTATCTATCTATCTATCTATCTATCTATCTATCTATCTATCTATCTATCTATCTATCATGGCATCCGGCTCTCTCAATTCCTGGCAAATAGCTGGGGAAGAAATGGAGGTAGTGACAGATTTTATTTTTCTGGGCTCCAAGATCACCTCAGATGGGGACTGCAGCCAAGAAATTAAAAGATGCTTGCTCCTGGGGAGGAAAGCTATGGCAAATCTAGCCAGCATACTAAAAAGCAGAGACATCACCCTGCCAACAAAAGTGCGTATAGTCCAGGCCATGGTTTTCCCAGTTGCAATGTATGGCTGTGAAAGTTGGACCATAAGAAAGGCTGAGCGCCAAAGAATTGAGGCCTTTGAACTATGGTGCTGGAGAAGACTCCTGCTAGTCCCTTGGACTGCAAGGCGTTCAAACCGGTCAGTCCTAGAAGAGATCAACCCCGACTGCTATTTAGAAGGCCAGATCCTGAAGTTGAAACTCAAATACTTTGGCCACCTAATGAGAAGGAAGGACTCACTGGAGAAGGGCCTAATGCTGGGAAAGATTGAGGGCAATAGAAGAAGGGGACGACAGAGAATGAGATGGCTGGATGGAGTCACTGAAACAGTAGGTGTGAGCTTAAATGGACTCCAGAAGATGGTAGAAGACAGGAAGACCTGGAGGAATGTTGTCCATGGGGTTGTGATGGGTCGGACACAACTTCGCAATTAACATCTATCTATCTATCTATCTATCTATCTATCTATCTATCTATCTATCTATCTATCTATCTATCTATCTATCTATCTATCTATCTATCTATCTATCTATCTATCCATCCATCCATCCATCCCCTCTTCCCAGCAACTCCTCAGCCAAAGCCCACTGGAACCGCCGGCAAACGAAGCGCCGGGAGAAACGCTTTACGCCTAGAGAGCAAGTCCCGTCTCCAGGAAGGGAGCATAGAGGGAAGGAAGCTCTCTGCTCCTGCCATCCCGTCGACCTCCAGGGCGAGGCAGAGGGTGAGGCTTCCCCTCCTTTGCAGCCCCGGATCCAACCTGCCTTCCCCTCCCCGATCTCCATCCTGCGTCAGTCTCTGCATCTGACGGAGGCGGCTGCACTCACGAAGCTCTCCTTTTGCAAGGAAAGGTGTCGGCTGGAAAAGGAGCTACCAGGCGCCTTCCGACGTTGAGCCCCCGATCCGTCCGTCCTGCGCTGGACCCAGAGACCAAGGAGAGCCCCACCTTTCAGCGGAGCCTCCCCGACTTCCATGCAGGGCGGAGGACCCGGACAGGAGAAAGCGGCAGATGAAGAGGGGCGACGCCGAGATCATCGATCCTTCCCTGCCCTTTGCAAGCATCGCCGTCCCAGCCTCCGCTTCCACCGCCCGCCTTTCAGCGAACTCCGCCCCCTTGCGAAAAAGCAGAGACGTAGACATTCCGGGAAGCCGGAAAAGGAAGGGAAAGCCCGAGTGAGCGGTGACTCATTTCTGCCGTCCTGCAAACCGGAGAAGGGGTTTCGGAGGGACTGGGGGACATTTCGGACCGTCTCGGACCTCTTTTGGCTGCCCTCGAGCAGGAGACCTGATGGAGGCCCAGGGATCCCCAGGGATGGAGGCCGCCCTCAGCCCAGAGATCCACCGCCGGCGCTTCCGCGGTCTCCACGGCTGCCGCCAGGAGGCCGAGGGGCCCCGGGAGCTTTGCAGCCGCCTGCACCGCCTGTGCCGCCAGTGGCTGCGGCCGGAGAGGAGCAGCAAAGGGGAGATGCTGGACCTGGTGGTGCTGGAGCAGCTGCTGGCCCTGCTGCCCGCGGAGATGGCGAGCTGGGTGAAGGAGTGCGGAGCCGAGAGCTGTTCGCAGGCGGTGGCCCTGGCCGAAGGCTTCCTCCTCAGCCAAGCCCAGCGGGAAGAGCCGGGAAAGGGGCAGGTGAGGAGGGCGGGGGGCGTCATTCTGGGAGCTTCATTTGGGCGGGGGGGGGGAGATGATCAAGAAGGCAAAGGAATTAAAAATATGACTCTGCAGCCTTTTCTGGAATTCTTCACCTTTGAAGAATTGATTTTTTCTTGAAGTAAATGCTTCTGTTTCCTAAATTAACTGTTTTCTTCCTTTACAGCTCTATATCCTTTGATATTATCCACATATTTCATAATAATCAGGGTTTATTTTCTGATCTGCTGTCACCTGAATCTAAATAAGGGGAAGCAACTGGATTATGTGAATGGTCTCTGATACAGAGCCACATTTAGGAAGGCCTATAATGCCAAAATAGTAACAGAAACAAAATAACACACCCTTACAGTTTATGTACATAAAAACATAGCCTGGTATTTTAACTCCCATTTACTCAGAAATATAAGTCACATGCATTCCCTGAAGTGTCTCTGAATTGGGTTGGGGAAATACAAGTAGGAAAGCAAAATGTAAGGAATGAAAACTATCCTCTGAAAATGGATTATAAATCAGGCTGTTCTTCTGATGCAGGAGCCGTTCACAGAGGAGATTTCAGCAGAGCTCCGGGGCAGAGGAGATCGATCCAGCTCTATTCAGGAGCTGTTTTTCAGGAAGACCCAAGTCTGGCCACCTTGCCAGGTAAATACAGGTTTCTTCTGAGAACAATAGAGTTCCAGCTCCATCCATTCAGGAGCTGTGTTTAATACTGAAAGCTGAGTCTCTGTGCACTTGAACACAGTGTCCACCCACATTTGGCTTTCAGGATTGTTCTGGAGATGCAAACAGGAGACAATTCACAGGCATGGAACTTTGTGTTAGAAATGTAATTTAATTGTAGAAAGAGTTTAGTATTTCTTAATACTATTAAGAAGAGTACTTAAAATAGTTAGAAATGAAATCTATGAATTGAAACAAAAGATAACACATCTGAGAAGTGTTTACTTTATTAAATATTTATGCCACCCATCTTCCTTGTAATGTGTCTGTAAGTATACCAAGAAAAATATAGCACATATAAGTCAACACTAAGTAGCTGTAACAATAAAACTATCGTTCAAGTGACTTGGGATTTCTAGGACATTACCAATATTTTGAAGTTCCTAGTGGCTCTGTCCTGTTTTCTCAGGAATTTGGTCACCGAGGCAGGTAAGTCTAGTTGATTTTCTGCCATAAACCTACTTACTGAGTTACCCCAGGCCAGTGGGAAGCTCCCCATGGTTGGCTGTGTTGCATTCTACAACCTGGAAGACGTGATTTGTGCAACTGCATCTTCCTAGCCCCATGGACTATGTGGACAAGATGACATGAATCTGTCGTGAAAGAAAATGTCCATTTGGTCTCTTGCACATGTGTGTTTTCCGTTGTGTGCACTAAGAGAGAGAACTTTCAATTGTTTCCTGGGATTGTCTGCTTTTTTCTTTTCTTTCTAGAGCTCTGATCCCTTTAAGGGGGTGATTATGGACTTCACAGATGAGGAATGGAAGCTGCTAGATTCTGGCCAGAAGGCCTTGTGCAGAGAAGTCGTGCAGGAGTTTTCTAGGAATATGGCTGCTCTGGGTAAGATCAGGATGTTCATATTTCTAAAGGGCGCTGGCAGAAGTATTCACCATAGAGTTAAGAAATGTCCTAGATAATCCATGGAAGTGATTGAATAGATTGACTGATCAACACCAAAGCTTTAACCTGTTTTTTAGCTGAAAACATTCTTTCTATACAATCAAGAGACTCCTGGATAACAATTTGTAGATATCACATCCTGGCTGGACAAGTAGATTCTACCAAACCAGGAACACAGATGACATGTTGTGGGGTGGGGGAAGACACCTCTCCTTCAGCCTTCTAAATTCTAATCAGAATATTCTCTTTTTTTCCATGCAGATGATGTTCCTATGAATGAGAATGGCAAGCAGGCAAGGTTAAATCTACTTCAAATAGAGAAGAATGAATTAAAAGTACTAACCCTTGGGCATCAGAGAGACACCAAAAGGCTAAAGAGAAAACAGCCAGAAGATGGAGGGGAGAAGTCATCCACTTCTCTTGGTGTTTGTGACTTTCTATCCCAGCAAGATCAGAAAGAAATGAGAAAAGGAAAATATAGGAAAAAAGAAAACATGAATTTCAATTACATTATGGCAGAAACCAGACCAAAGAAAAACTGCATGCCTGTAGATACTATGGAGAATAACTCCTTCGCTCCTGCTTCACCAAAGAAACTGTATTGGAAATGCAAACCACATACCTCTGTAAAATCTTTGGTGGATTCCAGCCTAAGCAGAAAGAGGAACCTCTGTATGCAGTGTGGAAAGAGTTTCAGCAGGAAAAGTAATCTTAATCTCCACCAAAAGATCCACATCAGGGAGAGACCCTATAAATGCATGGAAAGTGAAGAGACCTTTACACAGAAAGAAAATCTTAATGGTCACGAAAGGATCCATGCTGGGGAGACACCCTATAAATGCCTGGAATATGGAAAGACCTTTACCCAGAAAGAAAATCTTAATGATCACGAAAGGATCCATGCTGGGGAGGGACCATATAAATGCATGGAATGTGGAAAGACCTTTATCGAGAATGGACATTTTAGTGTTCATCAAAGGATCCATACTGGGGAGAGACCGTATAAATGCACAGAATGTGGAAAGAGTTTCATTAGCAACAGTCATCTTATTCGCCACCAAAGGATCCACACTGGGGAGAGACCACATAAATGCATGAAATGTGGGAAGACCTTTACCCAGAAAGGACATCTTAATCGTCACAAAAGGATCCACACTGGGGAGGGACCATATAAATGCATGGAATGTGGAAAGACCTTTATCCAGAAAGGACATTTTAGTTTTCATCAAAGGATCCATACTGGGGAGAGACCGTATAAATGCACAGAATGTGGAAAGAGTTTCATTAGCAACAGTCATCTTATTCGCCACCAAAAGATTCACAGCAGGGAGAGACCATATGAATGCATGAAATGTGGAATGACCTTTACATGGAAAGATAGTCTTAATGTTCATGAAAGGATCCATACTGGGGACAGACCGTATAAATGCACAGAATGTGGAAAAAGTTATATTAGCAAGAGTCATCTTAATTGCCACCTAAGGACTCACAGTGGGAAGCAACCATACAAGTGCATAGACTGGCCATCAAAGTATCCACACGGAAACCAGCCCACAAATGTATAGAATGTAGTGAAAAAAACACCTTTAATGACTACAGGTAGTCCTTGATTTACAACCACAATTGAGCCCAAAAATTCTCTTGTTAATTGAGACACTTATTAAGTAAGTTTTCCTCCATTTTATGATCTTTCCTGCCTATGTTGTTAAGTGAATAACTGCAGTTGATAAGTTAGTAATCTGGTTGTTAAGTGAATCTGGCTTCCCCATTGACTTTCCTTGTCAGAACATCACAAAAGGGGATCATATGATCTTGGGACACAGCAACAAACCAATTGCCAAGCATCTGAATGTTGATCACATGATCACCAGGATATTGCAATGGTTGTTAAGTGTAAAAATTGTCATAAGTCACTTTTCTCAGTGGAGTTGTAACTTTGAAAGGTCACTAAACAAACTGTTGTAGGTCAAGGACTTCCTGTACAGCATTCATGTGAAATACATGGCCCACCATGTGGTTATATTTTGCCCCCGGAGCCAACCTACCAATGACGAAGGACCAGTCCACGCTGCCTTGGCCTGGCCCAGGCTGACCGGGCGCTGATCTACAGGAAAAAACAAGTGAGTTCATGCATTGAGCTTTATTTGCAACAGTCAACATATTATTCATCCAAGGATCTAGACATGGCAGGAAGTTTATTAAAGCATGGAAAGTGAACAAAATAATCTGGTTTGAACTGGAATATTATCTACCATTCAAGTGGTCACACAGGAGAAAAGCTATAAGCAATCGAATATCAAAATTGCTGAGGGCAGATCAGTGACCTTAGTTAGAGGATGATTTATTTCTTCTTTAGGCAAATGTTTGTTTCCACTCAGAAATAATTCATGGGAGAAAAAGAAATTCAAGCCTACTTCAACCTCCCAGCCTCCTCAGGGATGTAAGAAGCTCCAGCATTTGAGGGAGTGGCCAGAATTCATTCATTCTTCTCTACCTTTCTTTCCTCTAATGCAGGAATTAATTCACTCCTTTCAGCTGATATTGTTCAAACTATTCATTCTCATTGAAAATACAGTAAACCTTATTAGAAAGTCTTACATGCCTTTGTTTCTCTTCTTTACAAACAAACAGAATATGGATAGTGATGGAGTAATGGTATGTGGGAATGACTTTAGGAGGGGGGGAAGAGCCTTAGACTAGACAGCCATTATCTAAAAGATAGTTTAAGTCCCCATAAGGAGATTGGGGGAGGGGAGTGAGAGGGAATTGGAAGCATTACAGAAGAAACTCTCCCTAGCTTTCCAGAGAGCAAAAGGAGAGGAGGGGATAAATACTTTCAAAGTTGCAGGATAGTGTATTGTGGCCTTCACAGTAGAGATGGCACTAGTATTCATTCTAGTGCTTCTGGATTTAGCTCAAAGAGCTGACAAATGCATTATCCAGTCAGGATTCCCAGACCAGGAATGCAGATCCCAAACCTTTATTCAAGACAATTTCAGTAGCCAACAATCGCCCTTCCCAAAGATGCACACGCAGAAAAACACAGTCAAACACATCCATTCATGTCTCAAATGGAGCATCTGATTTCTGTGATATTCTGGAAATTTGGTAGCATCAACTTTGTACTTAATAAGCAGAAATGCTCTTTTTCATGAACAGAACCTGTTAACCAAACAGGATATTAGGAAGTTATTTTTCTTCTCCTAGACAAATATTTTTGGCAAGAAGGAAGCAAAGATATTTAGACTGCAAATCAGTGCAAAGAATAGACAAATATTACAAAAGAAATTATTAAATAAAACATATAGAGCAGTGGTGGCGAACCTATGGCACGGGTGCCAGAGGCGGCACTCAGAGCCCTCTCTGTGGGCACATGTGCAATCACCCCAGTCCTAGACCTTCAGCTGGGTTTTATAAAACCTTTTCGCTTTAGGCCTCCGCCGCCATGTGCAAAAAAACAATAAAAAAAAGTTCAATCGGTCAATTTCAACTCGCGGGAAAAAAAAAAGATTTCACAAAGTTGGAATTGATTGATTGAACTTTTTAGTCCCACCCAGTCTGCTGTTACCACCGCAGCCACACCCAGCCACTGGGCCACACCCACCCGACACCCGATGATGCATAAGTGGGTTTTGGGTTGCAGTTTGGGCACTCGGTCTCTAAAAGGTTCGCCATCACTAATATATAGGTTTGGGTGGACCAGTGAGAATTTAGCTTATGTTGTGAACTGTATAACGAACCTGGCTGCAGCCATTTTGCTCGTAGGTTGGTACAAGAATGGGAGGGTTAGGGTTAGGATTTCTACCAGTCTAACCATTTCACTGTCCCATGGGAACCAAGTTCATTTCTTTCAGGTGGGCGTGATCATTTGGTTAGAAAGCCCGCCAAAGTATTCTATTGGGGAACGTAGCTGATTATACCACACTCGGGTGGGAAGTTTAACTTTGTAATAGTTTGTCTCTTGGGAAGGGATTTCAGACTTGGTTTCACTTTTCTTTTTTTTTTTTTCTTAATTGAAAATTTTTATTTTTTAAAACATACAATCATTTATAAAAATACAATAAAATTTTAAAATAGAGAACCCCCCCTTACCCTCCCTCCCACCCCACCCCCCCTCCCTTCACTTCCCAGAGCAGAATACAGGGTTAAGAAAAAAAAAGAAAAAGAAAATTATAATAATTAAAAAAAAGAAAAAAAAAGAGAAAGAAAAAAAAATATCATAATTAACCTTTAAATCCATAACTTATAAAACAATTCTCTATAATATTTGATATTCATTCATAAAATAAATAAAACTTTTTAATTCCATATTTTTTTCTGAATATAATCTATCCACCTTCCCCATACAGTAATATATCTTTCTTGTGTATGATCCTTTAAATAAGCAGAAATTTTTGCCATTTCTGCAAAACTAGATACTTTAAATATCCATTCTTTTAAAGTAGGCAAAGAATCTTTCTTCCAATATAGACCTACTAGTAACCTTGCTGCAGTTAATAAATTCAACATCAAAGTAGTTTCTTTTTCATTTAAGTCAACAAAAATACCAAGTAAAAATAGTTGAGGAGTAAACTATCTTCTTTCTAAAAATCTTTTGAATGTTCCACCAAATCATAATCCAAAAAGCCTTTACTTTTTTAGACTTGGTTTCACTTTTGACCCTGCCGATATTATGTAGCCAATAAACATGTTCTTTGAGGAAACTTCTAGCCTTGGAGTTCTGATGGGTTTGGTCTCATCTATCGGAACCATGACGTATATTTGAAAATGTATTTAATGTTAGAAACTGAGCAGATGGAAAGTCCTTCCCCTCCCCCCAAGATCTTTGGATGTACTGAATAGCAGTACGCCAGAAAGCCACATTTTACAGTAATCATAGTTTGAATATACTAGGTGTCTCTAGTATTTTTTTGCTTCTTGCCAAATGCCTTACAATCATGTGATCAATATTTACAATTTCTCTGCAGGCTTCCCTGAAAGTCAATGAGGAAGCCTGCAAGGAAGGACTCAGACCACTGTTTCCTGGCTGGTTCCTGGGGACTGGTGGAAAAAGGTCCATCCCAAAATCCAAACTGACTTTTTTCAGCCAACTCCTGGACAGCAAAAGTGCTGGTGGACAACAGGTGTGGAGGCTATTTATGGTATGGGAAAGTGAAAGTTAATTCAGACTTTAAAAGTCATTATCTTAGATCAGTGGTGGTGAACCTATGGCACACATGCCAGACGCCACACTCAAAGCCTTCTCTGTGAGCACATGCACCATCACTCCAGCCCCGCCCCCACCTGCATCCCCCTCTTCAACAGCAGCCCCCCCAGAGGAGAGTCGACCCCAAATGCGGCCCATGTGGAGCAGCGCAGCCAAGGACACAGTAGCCAGGCAGCGGGGGCAAGACTCTGCCCTCATACCCTGTCGCGCACAGTTGATGCTGTGGAGGATGGGCAGAGGGCATGGCCACCATGGCGTTGCTGGGCCACCTGGGTGATCTGCAACGGGCTGTGAAAGCATTGAGTGGCCTAGCAGGCGAGGGGCAGAGTGGGGTGGGTGGGATGGGGGGCAGAGTGGTGGGTGGGATGGGGCAGGTGGGGGTGGGTTTGGGCACTCGATCTCTAAAAGGTTGGCATCACTGTCTTAGATGTTCCATTCTGAGGGCATGGAACAAATATAAATCAAGGCTTTGTCTAAAAAATACCTTGTGGATTTTGACACAAGAATCATGCTATGGAACAAAAAAGGTAACTTAGTAGAGTTAATTTATGGTGACATATTCAGATTTTCTGAGGAAGATTTTGAAGCTTGAAGAAAAAATTTCATTTCCCAAAGGTTTTCTCATACACAATGATTAGAAAAAATTCAAATAGAGAAAGGAATCTTTAGAATATTGTAAGTATGATTTACAATGCATAAACAATCCTCACAAGTCACTCTCCAATAAGATGATTATAACTTATTACTTCTTTATTATGAATTAAATTTATATTCCACCTGTCTTACCACCAGGGGAGTCTGGGTGGCTTAAAAAATTAAAAGAAATAAAATGCTGATATATATATAGCAACAAAATTACAAAATCTCTGAAATAACAAAAAGATAAATTCACGATAGAAGCATAATCAAACTACAAAAGCTTGATTTAGCAGGTGGCTTCCCTCTTCACAGCAATTTTCACCCAAAGCCCATTTGAACAGCCAGAGTTGAGTTGGGATTGGAAGTAAGTGGCTCTCGTTTCCTATTTACAAACTACATGTAATACTTGACCAGAAAGAGAAAAGCCTCCTACAACAAACGTTTAGATTTGGGGGGTGGGTTAAGAACCAACTTTGCTACTTTTTATCCTGAGTTTACTTCTGGTCTTTTAGCAGATGACCTAAAGTGGAAACAATGATCTGATTTTCAAAGAGTTTTGGATGTTAAATAATAAAAGGTAAGTCTTTATATACTGTAAATTCAACACCTAAAGGAGAAAAGTCCCGTGTCCAGGAAGGGAGCATGGAGGAAAGGAAGCTCCAACCATCCTGCCGACCTCCAGGGCGAGGCTTCCCCTCCTTTGCAGCCCCGGATCCAACCTGCCTTCCCCTCCCCGATCTCCATCCTGCGTCAGTCTCTGCATCTGATGGAGGCGGCTGCACTCACGAAGCTCTCCTTTTGCAAGGAAAGGTGTCAGCTGCAAAAGGAGCTACCAGGCGCCTTCCGACGTCCAGCCCCCGATCCGTCCGTCCTGCGCTGGACCCAGAGACCAAGGAGAGCCCCACCTTTCAGTGGAGGCTCCCCAACTTCCATGTAGGGCGCAGCACCTAGGCA